CTCCTATTCAGTAATAAAATCTATAAGTTGAAGAATGCATATAAAGTTATCACAGTCATAAATTATGTGACCAAATGCCATGTATGATCACATTAAACAATAGAATCTCTCAAATTTACTCATCGGGGGTAGGTGCCACTGAATTTATTATATACTTCAGCTATTTTGAAATATAGATTTCAACATTTTTTTCAAGGTTATTTGGTAACTTGTTACTACATTTTCCATATGGTTACTAAGAGCATGTTGGTCACAATTAAAATACACAATACCAAAAAAGAAATACATTTTGACAAACAAGTGCATCAATTTCACAAAATATTTTTTCCCTAAAAAGTGAGTGCAAAAGTGAAAGAAATCAAGAGAATAGAAAGGAGGTAGTATGGTGACATGTGGATTAAAACCAAAATGATTCATAAGCTACATATAGAACTTAAGGGAATGAAAAAGAAATGAAAATGTCACATATACTTTTTGAAAAATAATTATATAATTATTTTTTAAAACAGAGGTTAAAAAACAATTCCAAAGTTACCAATAATTAGTTCATTATCTCAAATATTCAAAGCACAATCACTGTTAAAAAAAAAAGGTACCAAGTAATCCAAACTATTTGAGATAAGAACAGAATAAAATGGCAAAGTATCTGAAACAATCTGATACGTAATTGTATGTTAGAGAATTCATACTTTCTACTGAAAAATTCCCTGTTCTAATATTGATAGCTATATTAATACATTTTAAACATTGTTTTGTATTGCTCCCTTGATGGATATCAAAAAGCTTAAGTATGATTTTCCTATGAAAATATAGTCAAGTCTGTAAAATACACAGGGAATTAATATATAAAGCAATAATTCCTAAAACATGAACATGCATGTACACTAGTGGAAACTGGTACAGGGAGGGAAAGAAAGAGAATACAGAGAACTGTAGGTCAGTGGGGGAAGGGGACTATCAAGACATAGCTCTCATTTTCTCAATATGTATAAAATTATAGTAGAAAAATAGAAAAAATAGATATCTAATGTGGTTTTTCAGGTAGTTCAAAGGATATTGCTATATAATCACACAAAAATGATTAGAGACAGTATTTCAAAGTATTTAAAGAACCTAATTTATCTTATTGTATAAATTCAAATCAAAACCTATAATATACATGAGAGACTCCCTCTCTGTACATAGATATAGATAATGTACAGGTCATTTGTGTAATTTGACTGTGCATAAATATCAAAAATGTACACTATAATTAGAAACAGTAAATGCAGATGAGGGGTGAGAGTTGAAAGTTGAAAGGAAATACTTCGTGGTTCCAAAGCAATGATATTGCCAACTCTTAACCATTTCCAATATTTGTTTTTAAGTAAAATATTAGATAGCTTTAAGAAAAAAAGCACAAGATGTTTTGCAATGTTATTTTGGTGATTTATACAAATCTCTTTATTTATTCAATTAAATGTTCATTTTTTTTTTTTTGAAACTTACGGGACTATGGCACATGAGCTAATGACTATAACTGCAATTGCATTAATCACAGTAGTTTAGGAGAGTCTCTGGGTCAATGCATGTAGAGGAACTATGTGAGAACTAGAAGTTATCAAGACAATTCTTCTAAGGTAGAGAGCACAATTTGAGGTAGATATAAAGCAGAGATCACTGCTGGATTCTAGTAAATCATTCTTCACCAGGTCAATACCATCACTACTTTTACTAAGATGATGCCACTTTAAAGCGAAGCTCTTAATAATGCCTACTTGCCTACTTGCCTACTAACTCTTCAGGGTCTAGTTTATGTCAGGTTATTTGCCAGGAACTTGACACTAACTGTTTCACTTAATCATCCTTAAAAACTTGTTTTACAGTTGATAGACAGAAGCTGCCTAAGGTCGTGCAGGTCTGCCTGGCTCCCAGTCTCTTCCCATATGTCACAACAGCAAACCCCAAAGTTCGTATCAATAGTAATAGCCACATATTATCTAGGGCTTACCAGATGCCAGACTCTATTCTGTATCATCCTTAATCCTCACAAAGACACTGTGAGGATTTCTTATTTCTGAACTTCTGTGTGGTAGTTGAGGAAATTAAAGATAAGAAAGGTCTAGAACTCCCAAATTTAAGTTTATTGGCTATAAATCCCTTCATTTTATCACTCAATTTTTGTCTTGCTTCATTCTAAATTTATTTTACTCTTTATCTGCATAGCTACAGTAGGTTGAAATGGCCCAACTTCCTCTCCTTCCTGTATCCATGGTCCTTTGGATTATGGTTCCTCCATCAAGAGATGGAGTCCATTTCTTAAGTCTAGTGTTGCCTATGTGACTGGCTTTGGCCAATGGGACATAACAAACATGAAACAAGTAGAGTCTTAAATAATACCTGAACTTTGGGACTTTCCTACTCATTGCAGGGAATCCTGTCACAATGGGAATGAGCTGGGGCTAGCCTGCTGGAAGATGAGAGCCATATGGCCATCACTGCAGATGACATCAAGGTGACTACCAAACATGTGAATGAATTTCCTCCCCTGAAAATCCAACCAGCCTGCTAACTACTAAACATCCAGCCTCAGTCAAGTCAGCACATATGCGATTCAACCAACTCTGAGAACTATAAAAATGTTTCCTGTTTTAAGCCACTAACTTTTGGAGTCGATTATTACACTGTCACACCCATGACTTTATAGTATTCTTCCCAAATAATACTAGGATCATGTCTGAAGAATTGAATTATATTAAAGTCACCAACTTGCATAAATAGGTCTCCATCTTTGGTGGGAACAACATTCTACTAAGAATTAACATGTCTAAAACAAGGCATCCATTTAAAATTCATCTCTTCCTGATGATGAGAAATTACGTCATAAGCATCCAAGTAGTTAATCAATATAGAAACCTTAGAGGCATTTCTGCTCTTTTCCCTGTATCAGTTCAGCCAATGCCATGTCTCTTCAAAACACTTCTCGGACCCTACCATTGCCACCAACACACTCCTAACTAATTTCCCAATCATCTTTTACCTGGATTACTGAAATGGTTTCCCTCTGTCAATCTTTCATCATCTACACTGATTTCAGAGATACTTTTCCCATATCAAGAACTGATTCTGTTATGATGTAACACCCCACTAACTTAGGAAAATTTTTTTAAAAATTAAAAATATTTGATGATTTTTTTCCAGGATAAAGTACAAACTCCTTGGCATGAGACACAGAATCCTTCACAGTCTCCCTCATTACATCTTCCCAGTCTCTTCCTCTAAAACTGCTCCCATTTTACTGTGCACTCAAGCACATTTCCTTAAAAATATCACAACTTTCAGGTTTCCCTGGTGGCACAGCGGTTGAGAGTCCGCCTGCCGATGCAGGGGTTCGTGCCCCGGTCCAGGAAGATCCCACATGCCACGGAGCGGCTGGGCCCGTGAGCCATGGCCGCTGAGCCTGCGGTCTGGAGCCTGTGCTCCGCAACGGAAGAGGCCACAACAGTCAGAGGCCTGCGTACCGCAAAAAAAAAAAAAAAAAAAAAAAAAATCACAACTTTCACATATAACATATTTTGGTTCATTCTGCTTCTTCTTTGTAAGGTTCTCTTATTGTCCCTGCTCAGTTTTCTTCTTGAAAAATGAGGATACATCTTTCACAATTTAGGTTGTCACCTTCACTTTCAGTCACTTAGAAATCATTTTAGGAGTTCCTATTGTGTGCCAAGCACAGACCAGTGGCTGGAGGAGAAATAATAATTATGACACTCTTTGCCCTCAAGGATCTTACAGAAGGAAAAAGGGACATTCAAGCTGAAAAATAAAGTGCAGTGTTTTAGGAATAATAACTGAGGCAAGCACAGGGGATATTTGGAGGACAGAGGCATGTACTTAGCTCCTGCCTAGTACATGGGAAGACTTAACAGAGGAACTGAAGGTAAAGCAGAGCATTGCAACACTGGTAGAAACTTACTAGGTAGAAAAGAAAAGGTAAGAGACTCCTGGCAGAAGAAATAGCATGTATAGAAAACATGTTCTTAAAAGTCAGATCTAATGACTTTTATTGTATACTATTGAAAGTATAAGAAAATATACCATGCCACTGGGACAAAGTGAGGAGAATGGGAGGGAGGGGTGGAAGGGAGGAGATATGGAGATATGTGTATATGTATAGCTGATTCACTTTGTTATACAGCAGAAACTAAAACACCATTGTAAAGCAATTATACTCCAATAAAGATGTTAAAAAAATAAAATAAAAATAAAGCTATGTTCCCCTTTGAAAAAAAAAAGAAAATATACCATATTACTTTAAATTGAAAATTTAACCTTAGGATATTTGGTATTTATAAAATTAAAAGTTTGTCTATTATTACATTAGTTTGAACATTATAAAAAATTTAAAAATCATTAATTTTTAAAAGTAGAAAGATAAATTCTGTATTTAGATTATGAGATAAATGTTACTTTTAATTTCTATTTTGTATGACTAGTTATTTTTAAAAATCTTTAAACAGATGGCATCAATTTAAATACATAATTTTAATTTATATATTTTAAAACTAAATTATCATATTAATAATAAAATGACTTTTAAAAGGAATAATAAAATATAAGATATCACTTTGCAAGGAAATAAATCTGTCAATATGACTTAGATTAAGACATCTTAACTTATTTTAAAATAAAAAAGGGTAGTAGAAGAAGAAATCTCCAATAAACAAAAGTAACAGTTATCTGGTAATCTTTAAATCTAGGTTTGTTTTCAACTAGTCTTCCACTATGGATCCTCATTTCTTATTTGGTTTACAAACATTTCTCAAAACAATATTTCACATCTTATTATAAATAAGACTTACTCTTTCTGTTATTACGTTCCTTACACACCATTTTCCTCCTGTTTTTTAATAGGCACTGCATTGTAAGATACATATTTACAGTTATCTTTAATTTAATTGTCTTCAACAAAGAATGAATAAACTTCTTTTTCTTTAAACTAAAAAAAAAAGAATACAACTCACCTCTAACAGGGGGTCTTTCTAGCTCAGAGTCAAGGTGAATTGGTGGAGAGATGTATGGTACCTGTCCATGATGTGCCTGTCCTGTGGACCCAAAAATAAATGTTAAGATATTATAATTATGTCTTCTTACATTTTTTTTGGTTTTATGATGTCATACATCTCTCTTCACACTGAATTACTAACCATTATAGAGTGCAGACAGATCTATTCACACACAGAATCATTATGTGTCATCCAAACATCAAGCAATTAAATCAGTCCTTCTTAAGCCATCTACTTTGTTGTTGTTGTTAAATCACAAGTTTATTGTTGAGTGACACTTTAAAAAATACAATAAAAGTGATTGACAAGAAAAATGAAATGCAAAAACTAAAGACATAAAATACAAGTCCCCATTTTTCATTGTTAAACAGACACTAAGTACTCTATCAATTTGCTTTAAGTGTTTCTAAACATTTACTCTTAATTTTTGCATTTATTTCACTGCAGATCAGTAATAAATGGTCTGCAGACTGGCATCTATGTCAGATAACACTTTGAATAGCACTTACTTAGATAACTTTACAACCCTAATTAATTTATACCTTATTTTTATGATTACTTTTAAACTTTTTACTTATTATTTGAGTAGAAAACTACTACTTGCTTATTGTACTTGATGAAAAAATAATAACTAACCACAATATAAAAAAGCAGGTAGATGGATTCATTCTCTGTTTCTTGTAAAGCATTCTGCTAGTTCACATGCATATCTGTAATACATTTTCTGTCTCATGAGTTAAAGTTGATTTGAAGGACTAGATGCTGACTGAAAAAAATTGCTAGCTTAAAAACAAAAGAGTTTTCTAATGCTCAAAGTAGCTATAGCTTGTATACTGATAATCCAGTAAGCAATTAGGATTTTAAGGCAAGAAAGCATAATTACAGAGTTCAATTTCTAAAGCTACTTTATATAAAGAAGGTTTGGGTAAAAGTACAGAACCCACAGCTTTCTTTCTATAATGGGAATATGCAGTTATATTTTATACATTTACTATAGCAGTCTACAGGGTTGTTAATCTCTTTTCCTAAACAAGGAAAGTTAATGATACATAGATTATGATAACAATTAGAGTAACCTTCCTGTTTCAAGTAATATTCGACTTGTAATAAACTCTGCTGATTTCTCTTATGAGGCACATTTCAAATAATTAATATGGCTCCCTGTTGATAGTAGCTGCTATTGCTCCCAGCATTTTTCTAGCTAACAGCAGACACAGTGGAGAGGCTGTAATACACAGAGCACCTCATAATGGTAACTAAGAATATTATGCTTTCACTGGTCATGTTTCAGTGGAATACTAAAAGCACTATTATAAAAGAAATGACAGCGATTGTGCACTGCTAGCAGTCCATGTGTAATATAGCTTATTAAAAACTTCAGATTATCTTAATTATAAAAACACCTGATGTTTACCTCTGTTGCATACTTGGTTGCAAAAACATTTTTATTTTTAAGGTCTTGTGTCATTACAAATGAATTGGTTTGAAACTTTATTGATCATGTAAATGAAAATAAGAATCTTTCACTTTATATTGGTTCAAAATAACATCAGCATATAAAATAGTATTGATTTCATGTCAAACCAAGGAACATGGCTTTTACTACATATAATAATAACCACTACGCATTCATACATACATCATCTCCTTTTATGCAACCAATATCACTATAAGGATTTAAAGGTAGGTAATACATTAATACACACACATTTTTAAATCAAAGATACAAGCAGAGGAGATTAAGTAACTAACATGCAGATAGTAAACAGCAAGGCCAGTCATATTTTGACTTCAAATTTCAAGTGTTTTCATCTATATCATAATATTTTTCTCAAAGAAGGTATATTAAACCTGAAAATAATGCATATAGATTTTAGTGATTAAACTCTGACAAGTTAAACTCTGCTTTTGGGACTGTTACCTCTACATTTATAATGAAGTAAACAGTCCCTTTAAATGCCACATTTGCCTTTGTTCTTGGGATAAGCATGTAACCTCGACAGTACTCAACACAGGTACTTTAGGCAGTACAAGTTCACAGTGTGTATATCCCTGAGGGAAAATGGGGATATCAAAGAGCCAGTGGAATGGAATGGGGATTATTGATGGTCAAATTCTGAACCTGGTTTGCCACAATTTCCATTCTCTCTCCAAGGAGAAATCTAGCAAACTGCAGGATGCAGTATGGCAGGGAAAGTCACAGTGGTAGGCATTGACTGGGACTCTAAGCCTTAGAGAAAGGTGAGAAATGCAGTAATGGATTCCAATCTGGTAACTGAAATTTCTGATCTACAGAATCACAAAATCACAACTATTTTCAGATCAACTATTGATGACAAAGAGTGGAAACCAGAAGAAAAGATCTTCTACAACTAAAGATATAAAGAAGGAACCACAACGAGATGGGTAGGAGTAGGTGGAATCACGATATAGTCAAGAGCTGTACCCCTGGATGGATGACCCACAAGGGGGATGATAATTACAATTGCAGAGGTTGTCTACAAAGAGTGAGAGGTCTGAGCCCCACATTAAGCTCCCCAGCCGGGGGGTCTTGTACCAGGAAGACAAATCCCCAGAACAGTTAGTTTTGAAGGCCAGTGGGGCTTAGTGTCCAGAGAGCCAGAGGGCTGTGGGAAATAGAGACTCCACTCTTAAAGGACATACACAAAATCTCACATGCTCCAGGACCCAAGGCAGAAGCAGTAAGTTGAAAGAAGCCTGGGTCAGACCCACCAGTTGATCTTGGAGAGCCTCAAGAAGAGGCAGAAGGCAACTGAAGCTCACCGTGGAGATAAAGACACTGGTGGCAGCCATTTTGGGGAGCTCATTCTTCCACGTGGACACTAGTAGTGGTAAATGTCATTTTGGAATCTTCCCTCTAGCCTATTAGCACTGGGACCTGGTCTGCCCACCAGCTTGTTTGCACCAGTACTAGGATGCATAAGGACAAGTAACTATCTGGGTGAGGCTGCCTTAAGACCCCCTGAGCCCACAGCCATCTCAGGACATGGCCCTGTCCACCAGAGGGCCCAGGATCTGGGCCTACATACTACTGCACAAACACTAGACCTGGGACCCCCAGGTCTCTGCAGCCAGAGACCCTGGGTCCCAGCCCTGCCCATCAGCAGGTAGATACCAGCCCCAGGACCACCAAAGCCCTGCAGCCTGCTTTGTCAGGACCCAGCCAACCCACCAAAAGGCCAGCACCAGCCTTAAGATCACTTGGGCCCTGGCCCTGCCCACCAGCACCAGCTTTTTAAAAATTTATTTATTTATTTATTTATTTTGGGCTGCTTTGGGTCTTCATTGCTGTGCGTAGGCTTTCTCTAGTTGCGGTGAGCAGGGACTACTCTTTGTCGCAGTGCGCGGGCTTCTCAATGCAGTGTCTTCTCTTTGTTGCAGAGCACGGGCTCTAGGCACACGGGCTTCAGTAGTTATGGCATGTGGGCTCAGTAGTTGTGGCTCACAGGCTCTAGAGCACAGGTTCAGTAGTTGTGGCACACAGGATTAGTTGCTCCACGGCATGTGGGATCTTCCCGGACAAGGGCTTGAACTTAAGTCCCCTGCATTGGCAGGTGGATTCTTAATCACTGCACCATGAGGGAAGTCCCCCCAACACAAGCTTTGTGACACCTTGGGCTCCTCAGCCAGTGGCCCAGGATCCAGCCCAACACCAGCCTGACACCAGATTTGGGTCACCCCAAAACCCATAGCCAGCCATGTCAGGAACCGGCCCACCTACCAGCAGGCTGATAGTAGATCTGTGAACCCCAGCCCTGAAACCACCCACCCCAGAACCTGGCTCTGCCACCAGTGGGTCAGTATTAGCCCCAGGACCCTGTGGCATTCTGCAGTGAGCAGCCTCACAACCCAGCCCTGCCAACCAGCAGGTGCCAGCTTCTGCAGGGTCTGGCAACCAACTGGACCAGGGGCCAGCCACACCTACCAGGCCACCCACCGTAGTCAGCCCTCCATAACAGAAGGATCCATGCAGCCCACAAAGGGGACACCCCTAGAGTATATAGTTCTGGTGACCAGAGGGAAGTTTGCTGCTGGGATGCACAGGATGCCTCCTACAAAAGGCCACTTCCCAATGTTGGGAAATGTAACCAACCTACAAGATACATAGAAATAAAAACAGAAAATTAGGCAAAATGAGGCAACAGAGGAACATGTTGCAACAGAAGGAATAAGATAAAACCTCAGAAGAAGAACTAAGTGAAGTAGAGATAGGAAATCTACCTGATAAAGTGTTTATTTTAAGGTAATGACCATAAAGATGATCAAAGAACTCAAGAGAAGAATGGATGAACACAGTGAGAAGTTGAACAAACAGTTAGAAGATAGAAAGAAGAACTAAACACACCTGAAGAATACAATAACTTAAATAAAAAATACACTGTAAGGAATCAACAGATTAGATGATACAGAAGAACAGTCAGTGAGCTGTAAGTTATAGTAATGGAAATCACCAAAGCTGAAGTGAAAAAATAGAAAGAAATGAAGTCATTTTAAGAGGTCTCTGAGACAACTTCAAGTGTACTAACATTCTCATCACAGGAGTCTCAGAAGGAGAAGAGAGAGAGAAAGGGATAGAGAAAATATTTGAAGAAATGGTAGCTGAAAACTTCCCTAACCTGGGAAATGAAACAGACATCCATGTACAGGAAGCACAGAGACTCCCAGACAGGATCAACTGAAAGAGGATCACGCCAAGACTCATTGTAATTAAAATGACAAAAATTAAATATTAAGGGAGAATATTAAGAATTAATGCAAAATAATAGTAATAATAATAAACTCCAGTTAAAACCATAAATAACGTTCATAAAAATTTCTCTTGGACTTTATGGTGAATAATATTCAGCAAAAAAATGCAATCAGCTCAAAAAGAGCATAGGGAGGTAAAAAGCATGACAAACACATGTTTTAAAAATATGACACATTTTCCACCATATTTGACTGTCTTATACTAGTCTCACCTGGTCCTCATAACCACAGCTTTGTATATCGAAATATGTGATGTGCTCCTTTTATTT